GCCCGGTGGGGTGGGGGGCCGCAGGCGGCTCTTTGGCTGGTTCAATGGGCTCCCGGGCTTTCACACGACCATTGTCAAAAACGCCTCGGCGATGGCGCCGCCATTAAATCAACAGTGCTTAATACATAGAACGTACTACATCAGCCTATCACCAATCCCGTTACATGATTGACATAGAGGGCAACCAATCAGATGATCGAATCACCGCTCATGCGCAGACAACTGCGCTAAGTGCTAAGCTAGTCAGCGATTTAGCTCTGATTTTAAGGCAGGGGTGCCCAATACGTCGATCAGAATCGACCAGGAGCCAGTGAACTGGTCCCAAGTCGACCGCAACGCATGGGAGGAGGAAATGGGGGGAAAAAAAAAAAGATTTGTATGTTTGTGTCTTTAGGTTTCATTTATGTTTGGGCGCTCAGGCTGTTGTTCGTTGTGGCGTGCCTTCATATGTGCGCGAGTGCATGGTCGTGTGTGTGTGTGTGTGTGTGTGTGTGTGTGTGTGTGTGTGCGCGTGTGCGTTTGCGTGTGTGTGTGTGTGTGTGCGCGCGTGCGTGTGTGTGTGTTCATATGCTTGCATGTGTGCGATCGGGTCGATCGTAGGTGTTTGGTCGCTCAAAAGTCGATCTTTGGGCAAAAAACACACACACACACACACACACACACACACACACACACACACACACACACACACACACACTCCATAATCACCAACAAAATCTCGTGGAATTGAGGAGTTCTTCGCAGTGTTCTCCCCATTATCTCACGATGACCTGAGTCAACTTCAGCAGCAGCCCATCTCCACGATACACCTGTTGATGGTGCACTGCTTCCCTCTGCTGAGACACCGGATGGTGGACTAGAATTTCCTCAAGTTTCCACCAAACTTCTCCTGTACACACACACACACACACACACACACACACACACACACACACACACACCCCAACTTTAACACAATAAGTGAAAAGAACTATTTACTTTGACTTGTGCATACAAAATGAAGAACACAGAGTAATACTGTATTACTCTCAGGCAGTACTTCTCAATAATTTTCTGTTCCTCCCCCCAGGAAGAAGAAAACATTTCATCCCCCCACCCCAAGTCTCCGCCTCGACTATCAAACATTTCGCGTGCCCCCAACTCTCTGCCGCAACTGTAAATAGTACAATTTGTCTAGACAACATTACGCGGAACGTTGAGAGGCGGAACCGCTGTCGAGTGCGGCCCGGACGGACGTCGTTGGGAGCGGGCATTGTCCAGAGGGGAGCCAGCGGCGGTCGGCCCATTGGTCGGACATTGGCGGCGGGATTCGTCCCTGAGAGCCAACCGGCGGATTGGTGGGCCCGGCGGCGGCGGCGTCGGCGGTGGTGCTCGCACCGGGATCACTCC